AAATGTCTGAAGAGCAGCTCGTCAAATTGTCGCAAGCCAGATAATCTCGGTTTTGACAATAAGATCGAACTGCAGGTGTGAACACGAGGGTGACTGCTGAGTCTAATTCCGGGAGTGGGGAGAGGGACATTGGCCAGGAGGATTTGGGTGTTTCCAATACTACCTTTCTTTTGGTATCTGCGAATTCGCGTGTCAGGACATTTTTTTTTTTGTTTTTAAGCGTTTCACCTCAAGCAAGGCGGGAAGCCACTAGCACGCAAGGGGTTACAGAGAGTTGGATCTAGAGCAAAGAGGAGTTATAAGAGAAAGGATGAAGAGAGGATAGGGGATAGATCAGGGCATATGGAGACATCGATTGACATTACATTTGAATAGTTGGAGATTATAGCTATCAGAGAAACAGGAAAAGGGGAGGGAGTTCCACAGACGAGAAGTGCGAGACATGAAGCTATTGGAGTAGAAGAGACGGCTACATTTAATAGTTTCGACAGTGAAAGGGTGAGAGCGAGATGCCAGCCTAGTAGAACGCTTAAATTCATGAAGTCTGGGAACCAGCGAAAGCAGCTCATCGGAGCAGTTGCCATGAAAGTATTTGTAAAAAAGACAGAGGGAGGCGACGGCACGTCTGTGAGAGAGCCACTGCAGACGAGATGCCAGATCAGGACTAATTACACTGCATATTCGTCTCTGAATTTTATCAAGAACCTTGAGACAAACAGAAGGGGCACCAGACCATATATGGCAGCAATACTCCATGCAAGGGCGAATGGTTGATTTGTAGATTTGAAGGATCGACTCCATCGAGAAAAATTTCCTGACGCGGAACATTAGCCAACATTCCTTTTATGGATGAAGCTATTTTTCAATGTATTTGTCCCATCTCAGATTAGCAGTCACTGTGAGACCGTGCATATATATATATATATATATATATATATATATATGGGCAAAATATATAGAAAATAAAAAAAGAACTGGTTAGGTAAATAATCCAAAGTTCCTTAGTATTTTAGTTATTATTTTAAAAAAATAGTGCTCGATACAAAAGTAGAGCATAAATATAATTATTTATCTAAAAATATGATTCCAACTTTTTGGAATCAAAAAAAATTCGCTTTCAAGATGGAACAGAGCTTACTTTAACTCAATTTAATTCAAATAATTATATTGAAGTTTTCGGCTCAATTTTTGAAACATTGAGACCTCTTATGTCGAGTTGGAATCATATTTTTAAATAAATAATTATATATATATATATATATATATATATATATATATATATATATATTATAATTAAGTAATTCATGCCATCTAGTTCAATATTGTATATACTATTCAGGCTATCCATAATCTATCTGTTGTGTCAGAAATAGGAAAGGTTGAAACATGTGTAAATAATTAAAAAATAGCTTATTCATTAGGATAATTCGTGAACGGTTGAGAACACATTCTATATATTTTTTTTTTTAATCGTTAATTTCTCGGTATTTAATCGATACCTACCCACAAGGTGGAATGTGGCATAAGGCCGTTTTTTTTAGGTGAGGCGTTCCGAGCCCGTAGGCTCGGGCAAAAATTGCCAGTAGACCCTGTATACACAGGGTCGAGTAGCTGTCTAACTCTCCAGACGAGACTCTGCCCTTCGGCACAACCTCGTCTGTGTTCCTCTCCACCCGAAAGCAGAGAGTCGACAAGCAGAGTTAACAGTAATTGTCAACTCAGTAAGAGGGAGTGCTGTTTAAATAGTCTTAGATCAGTCCATATTGTGGGGGTGTTCAGCTACTCCACAAAAGTTAGCCTTACTGCTATTTTACGTTTCTTTTTATCTAACAGGCTGTCCATTATCTATCTACCTATCAGCCTGTTCATAGTCTATCTCTCTATCAATCTTTTGAGTCGTAAATAGGAATGGTTGACATACATATACAAGATAAGAAGTAGTTTGTTCCGGAGAATAATATGGTACACGGTTGAGAACACAGATTAATGTAATAAACAGTAAATCGTCAACTCCTTTCCCTTAGTAAGAGAGAGTGCTGTTTAAAGTCTTAGACCAGTCCATCTTATGGGGGTGTTCAGCTACTCTACAAAACCTAGCCTTACTGCTATTTTATGCTTCTATTTATCTAACAGGCTGTCCATTATCAACTATCTGTCTAAAATAATTCTTTCATATCTATCTATCTGTCTGTTCATAACCTATCTATCAGTCTATCTACCTATCTATTTATCTGTTGTGTCATAAATACGAAAGGTCGTTAACTCCTCTCTCTCAGTAAGAAAATGTGCTGTTTAAATAGTCTTAGACCAGTCCATTTGTGGAGGTGTTCAGCTACTCTACAACAGTTAGCCTTACTGATATATTAAATTTATAATATTTTGAAACAATATTTCAGGAAAATTATCTTATCAAGTCTACTATTACAGCGCTTCCTGTTATTAACTGAAGATGGTTTTTCCTTCCTAACTTTTTGTTTACGGTACTGTGAAAAACCAACATCTTCATTATGCCATTATTTTCTCAATTTGTTACACGTGCTAAACATTTTAGTTGTTACTGCTCTTGGAAGTATTCAAGTAGTGTGTTTTTTGTTTGTTTTTATTTTTGTTGTTATATGATAAATTTCTTTTTGATTTTGTAGCGCAAGGCTTTAAAATCTAATGAAGTATTGTCATGTCTAAGATCTAAAAGATTAATTTTCTTGAAGCCATTTGTCATTTTTAATCTAAGAAAACGGTTATATATAGATATTAGCTTTTAGTTTAGATATTATAAGTATATAAGTAAATATACCTAATTCTTATTCTTAGATAAACTATCATTTTCTTTATTTCACAAATATAAGGTCGGTTTTATGTCGGGATCGTTCTTATCATGTAAGTAATTATTATTAAAAGACATGTCTTGTAGACCATTTTATACTGCATTAATGCTATAATTAAACTAAATCTAAATATCTTTTATCAAGCTAAGCTAACCTCTCAAGTTATTATAGTTATTTTTATTATTTCCTTTGATTTGCGAAACTGTTGTATAACATTTTCTTCCGGGTCCCAACCAGAGACCTAAGATCAAAAATGGCTTCATGATATTTTTCAGGAAATTTTTTGTTTCTAAAAAAAAAAAAAGATCACAGTTATTTTGCATTTCATTTTCCGTATTTATACTAAGATATCCAGAAAAGGCATGGCGCCTGAACTAGAATCTGTTGCCCGGCGGAAAAAAAAAAACAAATGACGTTCGAAAAACTTCAATCACCTGAAGAAGGTTATAATGACGTAAAACGGCCGAAACGTCGTCAATATGACAATAAAAATGAAATGTTGATAAGATACAAAATAGAATAAATACATTCTTTTGCGTGTGTGTGTTTTTTTTAACTTTCTATTAACACAGCATTTCAGCCAATCCATTCTACGATAAAAAAAGTTTCACAAATTGTAGGGAAAGGCCGAGAGAGATATTTCCGAACAAAATGGAATTGAAAATGAATAAAGCTTAAGATGCAGAAAGGTTCAGCTCATTTCGCTCAAAGCAATCTACGGAGTCGACACCATTCTCAGCGACACGTGTAATGCAGGCGATTCCGTATTTAGATAGCGAGATCGATTCAACCACTGCGGCAAAACATTTTTCTCAAGAGGTCTATCGTTATGTATCATCCAGGATAAACTGTATTCATGGCATTTCCAAGAATATTAGCGCCTGCCAACATAACCAGCATCATGATCCCACGTTTAAACCGGCCCTGTGTTCCATGATAGATAAAGGCTGAATGCTGAAAAATTAGTATATATATATATATATATATATATATATATATATATATATATATATATATATATATATATAAAAATATATAAATATATATATAAATATATATATATATAGTATATAATTCAAAATAACCCATAGTTTTTGAACGTTCGTAAAATGTCCAAGGGACCCGGGTTCGAATCTTGATTTGTCAGGAAGGAGTTTGTTATCAGAACGTTTCGATCCCAAATGTCCTTTATCGTTTGGCCTGAGTTGACCCAAGCCTTGTTTCATGAAAATTGACTGCTAAAACGAATCTCAAGTTTTCGTGGCCGATGTTCAAATTTATTACTTTTGGTTTTTAAAATAGTCATGATAAACAAAAAAATAAACCACATTGAGGGGTTCTATCGGTGTTGAACAAACAGCAATGAGCGTCTGATCAAGCGTCAGCAATAGGGATTGGTTAGTCGCCCAGTTACAGGTATTTGAAATATGATTGGCCAGTTCTATATATATATATATATATATATATATATATATATATATATATACCTACACGATTTTTTTACTCATTACTATTGTCCTCATCTTTTGTCGCCCTATTTATTACAACGTTTCGGCCATTGTATGCTCCGGCCTTCTTCAGGTGTTTGGAATGTCGAACTGAACAATATTTCGCTCACTGGTGTAATTATGTTCTAGTTCCACGTGCCATGTTTAATGGATGTCAGTTATCAGTTATCTCCTGTTAATTCCCCTCTCCAAGTTCACTACCACCTCAACCAGGTATTGAACTCACACTCTTTTGGATCCTGTTATATATATATATAAATATATATATATATATATTTCTTGGAATGTTGGCAAGATTTCCGGGAAATGTTTTCGATTTCGTTAAACTGTTATTACTTAACCACATTAATGGATATTCGCTTTATTTTTATTTCTTCGGGGCCTTGTTTCATTGAATTGACTTGTTTTTACGGTTTATCAACCCTTTGCAGATTATTTAATACCTGAAATTATTTTTAGAATTTAAGAATATTTTGCCAATAATAATGATTTTACTGATACAAGTCCTACTAATTAATCCTATGGCTGGCGGAGTAAAGGTGGATTTATACGTTTTCAAAAGTGTATCTTTGAATAGGTGACTAAATCGAATCCGACTGGGAGTGAAACACGGCTCCTTGTTTTACATTCTGGGTTTTTATTTATTACACCATCCGCACACCCAACCTTACAACCCCTTGCATTCTCAAGCGGTTATTCCTCATGGTACTGACCAGGCTCAACGATGCTTAACTTCGGTGATAGTACGAGAACCGGGGTTTCAACATGCTATGACCGTAAGCCGTTTTCATAGTCTGTTGGCCGAGTGGTTAGAACGTTTGCATTGAGCATGAGACCCGGGTTCGAATCTCACCCTGGTCGATTTGTCAGGAAGGAGACTTCCTGCTGTTATCGGAATAGAGGGATCGATCCCAGCGTGCGGAACCTTTGGAAAGTGCTTGAAACCCATACCACGGGTTAACCTTGTGATTGGATAAACGGAATCCTTGGGTGCCGTCGACAGCTCTGCTAGCACGAAGCCACAAGTCATCATGGCCGAGGGCTTGAGCCTGCTGGCCTTGTTTAAATTGTTGATCACGCTAGATAACACCTTCTTTCCCACGTGGGGTTCGAAAGTTTCTTCGTAAGGAGAGCAAGAAGAAGGGACTATGCATAAACTACAAGAAGACAGAATGCATGGTCATCAGCAAATAGATGACCCCGAAATGAAATTCACAAGTCGGGAGACACTAAAATCAAGCAGGTGCGAAAATTTAAATACCTGGGAAGTGTTTTGACAGAGGCCGGTAAGTGCGACGCTGAGATCCGAAAAGATATTGGGAGGGCCAAAAACGTATTCTAAAAAGCTAGGCAGAGTATTACGAGGATTTCTTTGGTAACAAAGAAAAGAGTACTGAACTGCTACATGATATCTGTCCTCCTTCACGGCAGCGAATGTTGGACGGTCTCCTCAAAGATGAACAAGAGACTCGAGGCAACTGAGATCCGAAGACGTATTGGGATGGCCAAGGATGCATTCCAAAAGCTAGGGAGAGTATTACGAGACAGGAGGATTTCGTTGGTAACAAAGAAAAGAGTACTGAACTGCTACATGATATCTGTCCTCCTTCACGGCAGCGAATGTTGGACGGTCTCCTCAAAGATGAAGAAGAGACTTAAGGGAATCGAAATATGGTTCTACAGAAGGATGCTAAGGATATCATGGACCGAGCGTGTGAACAACGGTGAAGTTTTGGAGAGGATTCAAACAAGGAGGAAGCTTATACTTAACATCAGAAGATGCAGCTGATATTTATGGCAGACGTAATGAGAAAGAAGGGCTTGGAAAATCTGATACTCTCAGGGCGGATAAAGGGAAAGAGAGACAAAGGAAAGCAACGCGTTTTCTTAAGCAAGTGGATGATAGAACAGGATCTGGGAGACATAACAAAAAGAAAAAAAACTTACCAAGGCGTACAAGAGACCGGAGGAGGTGGAGAGCCATGATCGCCTACGTCTTGAAAGCACACGGCACATAAAAGAAAAAGGATTTTATAAATGAGAGGATGACAGAGAAACAAAAAATTCGTCCTCGTTCCCCCCCCTCCATCACTCTTTGTCTCTTTCATGATTGTGCGAGCGCGCGCGTGCGTGCATGCTTGTGTGTGTCTGTGTGTGTGTCTGTGTGTGTGTGTGTGCAAGTCGTAATAAACAAGTTAATTTATAATATTCACATTTATCCGAGTTTCCCTCGTCCGTCATTTGGTCAAGGATTATTCGAGTTTTGAGGAAAATAATAATAGATAAACAAATGAAACAGGACACATTATTGAATTTACGAGAATCCAAATATTTCAAGAGATGTTCTGACTATTGATTCAATTCTCTTTAAATACTGTCTGAAATTTTGAGAAGGGCTATTAACATTAAAAGGGTTTTTTCAGTCTATTAATTTCATTCTATTTGTTTAATATACATTCTTTAATCTTGAGAAGTGTCATTGTTTTGGGTTGTTTTAGGTACATTGTGACATTTTTAGAAGAGTCATTATCATCCCAATAGTTGGTCGATCTAATGATCGCATTCTTTTTGCTTAAGGTACATTATGTAATTTTGAAGAGAGTCATTATCATTCCAAGAGTTGTTCGGTCTATTGATCACATTCTTTTTGTTTAAGATATATTCTGTCGTTTTGAGGAGAGTCATTATCATTCCACGAGTTGTTCGGACTACTGATCTCAGTTTTCTTGTTTAACATTGATTCTGTAAGTTTAAAAACAGTCATTATCATTCCAAGAATTGTCGGACTGTTGATCTTATACTTTTTCTTTAAGATACTGCCTGTAATCTTGAGAAATGTCATTATACGCCGAAGAAATGTCCGGACTATTGATCGCATTCTTTTTTAAGATGCATTCTGCCATTTTGAGAAGAGTCATTATCATTCCAAGAGTTTTTCGGACTACTGATCTCATTTTTCTTGTTTAACAGACGTTCTGTCATTTTGAGAAGAGTCATTATCATTCCAAAAGTTGTTCGGATAACTGATCTCAATCTTCTTGTTTAACATAGGTTCTGTAAGTTTTAAAATAGTCATTATCATTCTAAGAGTTGTTTGGACTATTGATCCTATCCTTTTTCTTTAAGATACCTATCTTGAGAAATGTCATTATTATTCCAAGAGTTGTCCGGACTATTGATCTTATCCTTTTTCTTTAAGATACCTATCTTGAGAAATGTCATTATCATTCCAAGAGTTGTTCGAACTATTGATCTTATACTTTTTTCTTTAAAATACCTATCTTGAGAAATATCATTAATATTCCAAGAGTTGTTCGCACTATTGATCGCATTCTTTTTGTTTAAGGTACATTAGGTAATTTTGAGAAGAGTCATTATCATTCCAAGATCTCATTTTATTTTAAGTTTATTGTATCATCCGTATGTTTGAGAAATGTCATTATCCACTTTACAGAGTTTTTACTTTCCCCACTTTTTTTCTTTGTTAGCCAATGCTAGAGGGATTCTGACGGAAGCTGCTTTCACAAGAGCGGAAGCAGTGTGATGCTTCGGATTCAGATTACAAATGGTAAACTGGTGGCCTCATAGCGAGTTGCAGATTGTCATAAAACGACTGCTCAAGCCATGTAATGCGATGCGTTAAGAAGCCATATTCCTTCTGAAATAATTTTTTTACACGGCAATGCCTCATTACAAACGGCGAATGAATATTTGTATAAAACGGCTTTCAAAAACACTTGACAGTTTGTTCGCCCGATTTTGATTCGATTAAAAACTTGTTGAGCATCCGTAAGAGGAAGCATCACATTGGCGGACAGCCATTTACCAGCAATGAACTGTCCCGGATGTTGTGCTGTTTGTTTTATATGAAGAAAGAAAACAGCTAAAAAAAATATATATATATAGTTTGCATTAATATTGTCTCTGGAATGTTTTCGTCATTACAATGATTACATATTTTTTTCCAAAACATTAATCTTTGTCAAATTTGCGCACGTTCTGTAATTACAATCTTTAATTAAAACGTAATGTTTCTTGGAAACTCAGTACCACCGATAATAATAGGAAGCTTAAAAATTCCAGAAACATGCATAGAACTGTCGCCATATTGTATGAGTCACGTGCATTTGATTGACTGATTCGTTTTTGTTATTTGTTTAAGGTTTATTAACCATTTGCATATATGTCGAAAGGAATCTCTTAAGAAAGAAGAACGCTTTCTTGCGTTTTGAAATGTGTGTAGATGCACTGAGGCATCGTTTTGATCCGGCGTCGTTGAGCCACAAAGAGTGTGACCGCACTACAATGAGTGCACATGTCCTTTTTTTTACGTTTTATGGAGTGCGTAGGACGGTAGACGTAATACACATCGTCAGACGATTAAAAAATAATTCTTAAAATTAACATTCTTTATTTTTTTTTTTACATTTTTCATGTAATCTATGACTACCATCATATATATATATATATATATATAAGTGTGTATATGTATATATATATATGTATGTATGTATATATATATATGTATATATATATATACATATATATATATATATATATATATATATATATATATATATATATATATATATATATATATATATATATATATATACATATATATATATACATATATATATATGTATGTATATATATATATATGTATATATATATATATATACATATATATATATATATATATATATATGTATATGTATATATATATACATCCATACATATATATATATATATGTATATATATACATATATATATATATATATATATATATATATATATATATATATATATATGTATATATATATATATATATATATATGTATATATATATATATATATATATATATATATATATATATATATATATATATATATATATATATATATATATATATATTATTTGATATTTGATAAAAATGATCCACAAGAGAGTTCAATATATCTATTACAACAGATCATATATATTACATAAAAAAAATCCCAAATTACCTAGGTGGGTGTATAGCCTGGTTACTATTATGTAATATTTTTCTGGCTGAAATAGGCTATACCCACATGAGATAATTTTTGGATTTTTTGTGTAATATATATATATATATATATATATATATATATATATATATATATATATATATATATACAAATGTTTAGAGGTACAAAATTTATATACAGTTTTAAAAACAAGGAATTTATTGATTTTAATTTTATTAGTCTCTAAGTCCCTTTCAACCAACATCTCATCAGGAGACAATGGTTGGAACATTAATTAACGAAAAGAACAGTAACGAAAATAAAGAGCAAAAAAAAAGGGAAACGCTAAAATAACAGACAAGTGTATATACTTGTAACGAGGGGAGGGGAAATAGCGTGTAAATAAATTAGCGAGGGTTTCCGTCGTTTCGCAAGGATGTATTGCCCTACATCAAATTGAGTAATTTAGTATATAAATTTAATTGCCAGTGTGCTGCTGATTATGTGGGGTGTACAACCTTGCATTTGGAAACTAGAATCAACCAGCATGTACCTTCCAAAATACGACTTGGGAAGATAGATAAAATGTGTTATCTTCCCCCCATAAATATGAAATCGGCTATTGCTCAGCACTTAGTTGAGAATATAGCTTGTGCCAAGTCGTATAAAAAAAGAGTGGTTTAAAATCATTCATACGGCTGGTTCCAACAATCATTTAAAGATTTTTGAATCAGTCTGTATAGGTTTAAAGAAACCTTCTCTCTGTCGGCAGAAAGAATTTGTAAAGTCT